CCTCCTTTCCAGCCCGAGCTCAGGGGCTGCTGCAGTGGGGGAGAGAGGGAGAGGCCCCTCCTTCTTCCCAGTCCCAGCTTGGGGGCTGCTGCAGCAGGGGAGAGAGGGCACATCCATCGCATTAGAAGACTACTGATATTAAAATATGAATTGTGTGCTTTTATGTGTAGATCAAAAAAAGGTAATTATTATTTAGGGTTTTTTTTATATAGAAGTTTTATCCAAAGTGCTTTACAATAGTTAGCTAACGGTACATACAACATTTGGAAAGATCATTAAGTGGTCTGCCAAGACCCTCAGCAATTTTCAAGTGGTCCGCAGGAAAAAAAGTTTGAGAGCCACTGCTCTAATTGATCAGCAACGTAACAACAAAACAACGTTAACCGGGACGACTTTAAGTGAGGAGTTACTGAATATCGGCTTACAAGGCAGGTGTGGGGAGGTGGGCAGGGTGGGGCGGGACTTGGACCTGTTCTGGGCACCACCAAAAATTATACAAATCTGCCACTCCGGTAGAGCTCACTTTATGTGACTTGCCTATGGTCACCCAGGTAGTCTGTGACAAAGCAGGGAATGAAACCCAGGCATGGACAGCGCATGACTCCTCCAATGGGGAGGGTGTGCATGCCTGGACCATGGCCCTGCCCCAAGGCCTGCTCCTGCTCAGCCTCCTCCCCTGGAAGCCCCACCCACGCCCCATCCCTGGCCCCACTCAGCCCCCTCCCCAAGGCCCCCCTGCTCACCACTAACACCTCTTCGCCCCCTCCCCGCACTTGCCCGCCAGCCGGCCAGGCACACTGCTCACATGCACGTCTTCACCCCTTCCTGCAAGGCTCCCATGTGGGCAGAGCAGGGACAGGAAGAGGCAGAGCCTCAGGGGAAGAGGACCAGTGGGACCAGGGCCTTGGGGTGGAGCAGGGGCAGGGCCACAACTGGGGCACCCACCCTTTCAGCAGTGGCATGCTCCAAAGGCGGCGGGCAGGCTGTTTGGGGAGGCTTTGCCTCCCCTGGCCTCTTATACCCGCTGCCTTTGAACCAAGGAATTTTGTGTCCTTGCTGAGTGCCCCTAATCACTGGCCTATCCTCCCTCTCTGTGTCTGTACACAGAAGAGCTGACAAGCTATATCAACCCTGGCTGGAACAAAATGGAGAATGAAGAAAAACTGTGCACAAAGATTTGTCTGAATCTGTTGCTTTGGGTTAACGTTTGAGGATGTGAACTTCACTAGCACACATCTCCACACAAAGAACATTTTAAGCTTAAATTTCCACTGAAGACAAATTTAAAATGATGCATTCAAGTGCAAATTCCACTGCGTTGGTTAGTTGTTTACATCATCCATGGAGGGAAAAGAAACAGTTTCTCTCTAAAACCTAGTTTTAATAAGTCTTGGTACACTGGGTAATTCCAGAGGACTGGGAGAAAGCTAATACTCTGCCAATATTTAAAAAAGGATAAACAGGATGAATTGTAGGTTTGTCAGCCTAACATGGCCAAGATAATGGAACAGCTGATATGGATGTCACAGTTCAGGACAACTGCATTTACATTCTGTGAACCAGCAAGGGCACCCACTTTTAGACTTCCGGCTCCCAGCTGTTGCTTCTCTTGGGCAGAGACCCATGTCTCTCCCTCCTGACTGGGGTTTTTCTAGGCTGCACAGTTCCCTGGCTATAATGTGCTATCCCCAGAAAGCCAGACTGCCTAAACAGACCAGCATCTATGCCAGGGGTCAGCAACCTTTCAGAAGTGGTGTGCCGAGCAGTGATGAGCTGCTAAAAAATTAACAACCGGTTCCCTCCTCCTCACCCCACGAGGGGGTCGTGCCCGCCCCCGGGACCCCTGCCCCATCCACCCCCCTTCCCTGTCCCCTGACTGCCCCCTGCCACCCCATCCATCCCCTCCTCTCATTCCTGATGGCCCCCCGGGACCCCTGCCCCATCCAACCACCCCTTCCCTCTGTCCCCGACTGCCGCTGGAACCCCTGCCCCTGACTGCTCCCCACCGCCTCATCCAACCCCTGCCCCTTCCTGACTGCCCCCCCAGACCCTTGCCCCCATTCAGTCCCCCTGTTCCCTGCCCTCTGACCGCCCCGACCCCTATCCACCCACCCCCCACCCCCCCAAACTCCCCTGCCCTCTATCCAACACCCCCTCCCTGCTCCACACAACCCTCCAGCCCCAGCATACCCACCACTGTGCAGACCCTCTCCCAGCCACACAACTCCTCTGCTACACAGCCACCTCGCAACACACAACTCTGTTTGCACACACTATACACACACGTCCCCACTACACAGCTGCACTCCCCAAACTGCACAATGCTCTAAGCCGGGGGATGGGGGGAGGCGGGGGCCTGGGCAAATTGCCCCACACATTCCCCCCCCCCTCTTGCCGGTAGCCCGGAGGCTGGAGCTCAGCAGCTGAGCTGGCCATGCTGCAGGCCTGCGGCTCTGGGGGTGGGAGGGAGACAAGACAACATGATCCTCGTGGGGCTGGGGGCGGGGGCCCCTGCAGGGCCCGGAGCAAATTGCCCTGCCCTCCCCTCCGGGCAGCCCTGGAGAGCTTGCAGCAGCCCCCACCCCTTACCTTGCGTTGCCGGCAGCCCTAAGCTCAGTTGAACTAGCCATGCTGCAGCTCTGCAGGTTGGGGGGAAGCAGGGGGGGAGGGTCGTGGGGAGACAGACATCCTCGTGGGGCCAGGGGCCGGGCAAATTGCCCCACACATCCCTCCCCCCCCCCGTGGCCCTGGAGCTCGCAGCCCCCCCCCTTGCCGGTAGCCCAGAGGCTGGAGCTCAGCAGCTGAGTTGGCCATGCTGCGGCTCTGAGGGGGAAGGGGGGAAGACAACATGATCCTCGTGGGGGTGGGGGCCCCTGCAGGGCCCGGGCCAGGGCAAATTGCCCTGCCCTCCCCTCCAGGCAGCCCTGGAGAGCTTGCAGCAGTCCCCCTTACCTTGCTGGCGGCCGCTCAAAAAGCGGCAGCAGGACGACTCAGGAGCTCAGCTCAACTGCCCAGTGTGCAGGTGTGTCCTTGAGTGCAGGCCCGGCTCCAGGCACCAGACGAGAAAGCACGTGCCTGGGCGGCACATTGTAAGGGGCGGCATTCCGGCCAATCTTGGGGCGGCCAGCCCAGCCCTGAAGGGGCACGGACCCCAACCCGGGGGAGGCAGGAACTAGTGATCCCCGCTGCTCATCGTGCCGCCGGGCTCCCCGAGACGTGCCACTCCCCGCCGCCTGCACCGGCCTCCGCCTCCCGCGCCGCTCTGAACCCGGCCCGGCCCGGTCGAGCCGCCTTTAAAGGAGCGGCTGAGCCAGCACCTCCTGCAGCCCCCAGGCACTGGAAGGAGGGAGAGTTCTGCGGCGGCCCGGCGGGCAGCAGAGGCAGGGAGAGAGGGTTCTGCCGCGGCCCGGCGGGCAGCGGTGGCAGGGACGGTTCTGCGGCGGCCCGGCAGGCACCGGAGGGAGGGAGGATTCTGCGGGGGCCCGGCGGGCAGCGGAGGGGCGGGCCCCACTGATCCTGGCACCGTTTGCACTGTGCCGAGCCCTGCTGCAATGCCGGCCCCACGTGGAGGTCACAGACCCCAGCCAGCGCTGCCTGTGTCGGCCCCCTTGGAGCCTGCCCGGCCGGGAGAGACACCCCAAGGCCGGAGGGGGGAGCCCCTCTCGCTCGGCTGCAAGCGGACTGCAGCGCCTAGCTGCCCACGGGCAGAGGGAGCGGGCAGGTGCCGCCCTTCACCCCTCTGCAAGCCGCCTTGACCGCCCTCCACGCGCTCCCTGCGGCTGCCGTTTGTTTTTTGGAAAAATACCCTGAGTTTAAACTGACTCAGGGCCTTGTTTCAGCTCTTCAGACCTTCTGTCCAAGGGATGGGGAAGGTTTTAAAAATGTTTACAAAGCTTCATTTAAAATTAAATTAAAATGCAGAGCCCCCCGGACCAGTAGCCAGGACCCAGGCAGTGTGAGTGCCACTGAAAATCAGCTTGCATGCTGCCTTCAGCACATATGCCATAGATTGCCTACCCCTGATCTATGCTCTGTGTGCTCTCTCTCTCTCCAGAGCCCATAACTATAAATTCCCACACAGCTCTTCCTAAGCAAGCACATTTATTCTCAGGGTGAAAGCTCCCCCATCCCTTGGACAGAAGGTCTGAAGAGCTGAAACAAGGCCCTGAGTCAGTTTAAACTCAGGGTATTTTTCCAAAAGTCCTTTCTTTGTCTGTTGATCTCTGGAGAATCCAGTTTGAAACAGTATAGATGAGCCTCTACAGGTAGTGGAGAGGCACCTCTCTGGAGGTGTTACAATCTGATTGAATTTGCCTAATCACTCCCACCACTGTTCTTAGTTCCTGGAGGGCTGTGGTCTCCCTACCCCATGGAGTTACATATAATCCCTGGCCCACAATTATACATGAATTTAATAGAGAAAGATCTCACAGAGATATTGAAAGAAATTGTCATATCTGTCACACTGGACTTGATTAATAAAGAATTAAAGGAGGGTAATAAAAATAATGGCAATCAACATGGATTTATGGAAAATATACCTGGTCAAACTAACGTCTTTTTTTGTTTGTTTGTTTTTTTGGCCATTGCTTTGCTGACCAGAGGCTTTTTCCGGACATTTGGTTGCCAATCTCATGTTCTTATGTTAACCTCTGGCTTAGACATTTGAACATGAAGTTCCCCGAATAGGCAGGTATCCCATTTTCATAACTACAAGCGTCACATTCATCCCCCCAGAAAGAGGGTTGCTGGGAACGGAATCGTTCCCCTGCCAGAGTGAACCCAGGGACTTAGGTGTAGCTCTTACAAACCGTACACATACCCCCGCCAGCCGCCCCTCTGACACTGATCTGGAGTTTGTGTGAGTCGCCCACCCATATCCAGGGGCTGCACGGAGAGGTGGACACCCCCACACTAGAGGGCTCTGATCATTGGGAAGGGAGGAGAAGCTGCTTTTATCTCTCCTTGTCTCAGCCTCATTTGGGCTCACCATTTTGGAGGCTGAACTTCCTGGGTCAGAGGCAGCCGCTGGTGCATCCGGGAGCTCGGGCTGAGCCGCTGCCGCTCCCCAGCGGGGTGAGCCCTTCTCTACTGCCCCTCTGTGCCTAGCCAGGGGTGACTTTCTCCGGGGGCTGGAACCAGCCCCTGGGGCAGCCCCGGCCTCTGCCGACACCAGCCCCGGAGCCTGCAGGTGAGGGGAGAGACCCGGGGGAAAGGGCTGGGGCCGGGCAGGAAAGTGACTCTGTACCAACGGCCCCTCCTCGCCCCAGCTCTGTTCCCGGGGGGGCGGGGGTCTGCGAGTCCCAGAGCTGCTGACCTCCCCCCGCCCGAGCCGGGCCAGGGACCGAGTGGAGGGGAGGGGGCGGGAGGGAGACGGGGGAGAGAATGGGAGGGGCAGCAGGAGTAATAAGTGGGGAGGGAGGTTCCCTACTTCCAGCCCTGCCCAGTTCCATTCACTGCAGCATCCCGTGGCAGATTTACTCCAGTCCTTGCAGTGAGGCTGGGGTGGAAAATGAAGAGGAGACAGATCAAAAATCCAGGGAAGATATTGTCTGTCTGATGTGCAGGGCCCGTGGGAACCAATCCTGGCCCTGGGAGAGTGGATAGTGTTCGAACATCACCAGGGCTTTTCTGGCTGCACCTCTTAGCCCTGCTGAGCCTCCCAGGAGCAAGGAGGCAGGAAGAGGTGAGGACTGAGGGTCTGGAGGAGGCCACACAGGGGAAGAAATAAGGGAGCAGAACTGTGGAATTGTCGCTGGTGCGGCAGGGTGACATTCCCTGGTTCAGGTTCCTTCAAGAGGTGTGTGCATTCACCAGGGAGACGCTGGGGGTTTCACTCATGTGCCAACAGGAAAGCATCACAGAGTCAGTTGTCCAATGCTGGACAAAGAGCTCTGCTAGAATAGGGAAAACAGCCTGATCCCTAATCAACGGGAGCGGAGCTGCCAGCTTGCAGTTCCTATGTCTGAGCAGGTGGGATTGTTCTAATGCAGGAGATACTTGCTGTTTCAGGGGCTGGTGACCTTCGAGAAGGTGGCTCTGTATTTCACCAAGGGGCAGTGGGAACTTCGGGACCCAGGTCAGAGAGACGTCATGCAGGAGAACTATGAGTCCCTGATATTGCTGGGTAAGGCTTCCTTTCTTCTCACAAGAATGGGGAGATCTCTGAAGTGCTTGAGTCAGCGTCAGTCATTTGTGGTTAGAGCAGCACCGAGATCAGGGCCCCAGCATGCACATTGAGAGAGGAAGACCCTGCTCTGAAGAGCTCACAGTCTGACTGGAAAGATGCTCAAAGCGTGAGAGGGGAAACAGAAGCACCTAGAGGGCAAGTGACTTGCCCTAGAAACAGGCCACATCATTCGCAGGGTTCGGAATAGAACTCAGGTCTTTTGCCTCATAGGCTATCTCTACACGACAAGCTAGGGATGTGGTTCTCCTGCCCGTGTACACATACTCCTGCTAGTTCTCGTTGAGCTAGGGTGAGTATAAGTAGCAATGTAGCCACGATAGCAGCAGCAGAAACATGGCTGAGCCCTGTCACGTACAAACTGGTGGGTCAGTATCCATGGCTCCGCTGCCATTACCTAGGCTACCATGGCTACACTGCTGTTTATACTAGCACTAGCTCAATGAGAGCTAGCACGAGGATGCGTCCACGAGCAGGGGAATCAAACCCCGAGCTCATCGTGAAGATAGTCATAGGCCTATGTCCAATCCATTGGCCCACACTGCCTCCATATGGGCTCATCATCCTTCCGGATGGAGTGATAGTGACCCCTGTGGGTCTATGGGGGAGCTTAATGGCAGCCTTGAGCTACTAAGTCCTGTGAAAACTACAGCCTGCCTTCACTCGTTTTATCTTGTTAGTTAACCTGAGGTGCCTAACTTGAGTTAAGACCACACTTTTTGTCTGAGGGAAGACAAGCCCTATTAAATTTGCCTAACATTTTCTATTATAACTTTCCATCTTCAGTTGCTTATAACTTTAACAAACTAACTGTTCAGGCTGAAATTTCCCATGCTTGGAGGCGATGGCTGTAAGGTTGGAGAGATGCTTTTCACCGTCTCTGTGAAAATGCAGCCAGATTTGACAAAAAGTTATCAGCTGCAGAAAATTACCAGTATGGTTGCAAAAGATGGAATTTCTTTGATTTTTTTTTATTACAAAAAACCCCTAGGATGTATCATACAAAAATATGTTAAAATAATGTTATTAAGTTTGCAAAATCAAGCACTCAAAAGTTAGGAAATGCCAGGATTAGGTTCAGCTCTCTTATGCATGATCACAGAGGTTTTTTGCACAGGATCCTGCCTCATTCAGTGTTCAGGATGAATGCTGCTTACCAGACCTCTAACTATCCCAAAGGGTCTCCAAGAGCATTTCCCCCTCTGTTACAGGTTTACCTGAGTTCACCACCAGCAAGGGAAGGGATTTGATTAAAATTATGGAGCTTTTTAGTAGCAGCTATTTAATGAGTGTGTGACAAATTCTGATCTCTCCTCTTTCCTTTCTCCTGAGTAGACTTTCCGATTCCTAAACCCAACGTGATCTCTCGGATGGAAACAGTGGAAGAGCTGGGTGTCCCGGATCCCCACGCCGCTAAGGAATGGGAGATCCTGAGAGTAGCCCCCACAGGTGAGGGGTTAGTATTAAACCGAGTAAGAAACCATTTGCAAATGGCGCTAACAAGATTCCTACAAAGACCCTGTGAGTTCCCCAGTTCTACCTCAGGTCAGGATTGTCCCCAGCAGGTGTCATATCCCCTCATGGCAGACATCACTCACAGCCTCCCACCCAGTCTGACTGACACCTGGCAATAGCTGTCTTTCCCGAATGTTCGCATGGATTGTGGAGGCAGGATTGGTCACCTCTTCTCTCTCCTCTGAGGAAGGGCTTGGGGGGATTCAGGTTGGGATCCATGAAGGGACTTAGGCATTGCAATGCTGGACATCACAGGGCCTAACTTTTAGGCAGCTAGTAAATTGCAGGATCAGTATTGTGATTCACAAAGCCTGAGTTAGGCGCTGAGTTTCCCTGTGCAATGAATGGGTTGAGATAGGTGCCTAAAATTGGGATCCACAAACGCTAGCACCTCAGCTGAGCTAGCCAATGGGACATGCCAACCAGAGGGGCGTGTGCTAAGCCCTGCCCCTCTTTCAGAGGTAGAGTCCAGGCTGCTGGGAGGTGCCTAGTGATGCACCAATAGGAACCCCTCTCCTGGAGTCAGGTGGCTTAGAGGCCTAAGCTGTTTCTTGGGGCAATGTGGTAGGTGCTTATCTCACGCTACCCAAAACCTCCACCTTTAGACCAATGGTTAGAGCACTTCCCTGGCATGTGGAAGATGGAGGTTCAGTTCCCCCTCTGCTAGAGAGGGCAAAAGGATTTACATAGGGGTCTCCCACGTCTCAGGAGGGTGCGCTAACCACTGAGCTATGGGCTAGTTGGAGGTGGGGCTCCCTCCATCTCTCATGATGAAGCTGGCTGAAGCCTGGGTCTCCCATCTCAGTGCCCTAACCACTGGACTATAGAGTCATTCTTTCTTTTTCTCTCTGACCCAATGACTATTCCACTGTGGATAAACACTTAAACAATCGTTGGGGAGGGAGTGAGAGGACAAGAGTGCATACAAACGAGACTGAGTCTGTGGTCAGGGCATAGAATCCTAGAATATCAGGGTTGGAAGGGACCTCAGGAGGTCATCTAGTCCAACCCCCTGCTCAAAGCAGGACCAGACCCCAGACAGATTTTTTTTGCCCAAGATTCCTAAATGGCCCCCTCAAGGATTGAGCTCATAACCTTGGGTTTAGCAGGCCAATGCTCAAACCACTGAGCTATACCTCCCCCGGCATCCACCTGGGAGACTCTGGGTCCGGTGCCCTTGCTCCAGTAACTTTCATCATTTATCCAGAGTGCAGCAGCTCCAACGGGAGAGACGGAAAGAGCACCTCCTGCCACTGCCAATCAGAAGATCCCAGAGCTGAGTGGCTGGCGCACCCTCCTGAAAGGTGGGAGACCCCCTGTTCAAATCCTTCCTCCCCTTCAGGTGAGGACGTGAGGGGAATTGAACTGGAGTCTCCCATCTCCCAGCTGAGTGCTCTAACCATTGAGCTAAAAGCTATAAAGTAGGTATTACTGCCACCTCCTCCGCTGGCTGGATTTTGAATAGGATCCACTCTTGGGGGCCACCTACTGGATTGGGTGCAGCATGCATATAGGCAGCTGAACACCTGTCTTCCCCTGGTTCACTGGTCACTCTGGGGCTTCGGTGGGAGATGAGCATTCAGATGCCTAGAATGAGGGAGCCGTGCACATGGCCAGAGGCAGGAACATAGGCACCCGGGGAACTTTAATTTAAAAAACTTCAGTGTCGAGTGAGGTTAGGTGACTGCAGAGTTCAGCAGGCAGTTTGTGAATTGCAGTGAAGCCAAAACTGGGACCTAGGTGGCTAAACCCAAGATTTGAGGGCCTAAGTCTGGGGTTTAGACACCTAAGTACCTTGGTGGATCTCACCATCAGCACTTAGCCCTTCTGTTGTACCCACCTCCCCATTCCCATTCCCCTTTCAATGGTTCCCTTTCCCCTGGGCACAGGGAGTGACTCCTGTCTGGATTCTCTCTCTGACCCAGCAGATGATGGGATGGGGAGTGAGCATGAGGAGGAGAATCTGGAGCAGGAAAGCTCTGAGATGGTGGAATTGGACATGATGTTGCTGGGAAGAGCTGAAGAGAACATTTTCCAGAGTCCTGAACTTGGAGAAGCCTGTGAGAGTCAATGTGGACTGGAGAGGCAGCAGGAAAACCACCCAGATGAGAGACTAGGGATATCCACTCACCCAGGAGAAGGGTTTAAGGAATTCAACAACATCAGCATCAACCGGAGAACAGAGAAGTCAGAAACCCAGAAAACATGCACTGAGTGTGAGAAAACCTTTTCTTGGAGGTCAGAGCTGCTAATCCATCAGAGACTGCACACGGGAGAGAAACCCTACAAATGCCTCGACTGTGGGAAAAGTTTCACACGAAGCTCAAACCGTAATGCGCATCAGAGGATCCACACAGGAGATAAGCCCTATAAATGCACTGAGTGTGGGAAAAGCTTCAGCCAAAGCTCACACCTGGTGAAACATCAGCGGCTGCACGTGGGAGAGAAGCCCTACAAGTGTACGAAATGTGGAAAAAGCTTCAGCTGGAGCTCAGACCTTATTGTTCACCAGAGAATCCACACAGGAGAGAGACCCTATAAATGCCTCGACTGTGGGAAAAGCTTCAATCGGAGCTCGAACCTTAACACACATCAGAGAGCCCACATGGGAGAGGGCCCCTACAATTGCACCGAGTGTGGGAAAAGCTTCAGTTACTGCTCCTCCTTCATTAGACACCAGAGAACCCACACAGGAGAGAAACCCTACAAATGCACCGAGTGTGGGAAAACCTTCTTCGAGAGCTCGGCCCTTATCAGGCACCAGAGGAGCCACACTGGAGAGATGCCCTACAAATGCACCGAGTGTGGGAAAAGCTTCTTCGAGAGCTCATCTCTTATCAAGCACCAGAGGATCCACACCGGAGAGAAGCCCTACAAATGCCCTGACTGCGGGAAGAGCTTCAAGCAGAGCTCATCCCTCATCAATCATCTGAGGACCCACACCGGAGAGAAACCCTACAAATGCACCGACTGCGGGAAAAGCTTCACTGTGAGCTCCGCTCTGATTAGACATCAGAGAATCCACCTGTGATAGACACCAGCTGCCAATTTCCCTTCTGGGGCTTGGCCGCTGCTTACGTGAGGCCTGAAGATAGGTCTGGGAACCAGAACAGGCAGCTGTGGATCCTTCGAGGTGCTGGGTGTTGGAAAGGGCCCTCAGAAAGCCTGGGTGTTTGGTCTCTTGTTATTCATTCAGTGACCTTGTCCCAGTCTGTCACTGAATGGAGCTGCCTGGAGAAGGACTATGCTGTTTGGGCTGATTCAGGCAGGGGCTGGATCTCACCAGGTGTCAGTATGGCATCGGCCGTGATGGGGCTCCAATCTCAGATGGGTTGTCTCAGTACTGCACATATTAACAATTAGAAAAGACTGGCCCTTATTTTCCTCTTTCCCTGGTGGTCTCCTCATCTTCCTCTCTCTCTCTTTCCCCTCTGTCCAGTCACTGGATTGAAGAAGACCCAGGAGAGTCCCTGAGAGAATGTACAGAGGTAAAGGAGAAAGCTGTGAATCCGAGCTGTCCAGTCAATGAAACACCCCCAGAGCCAGGGGGATCTGGGCATGAGTGTGTTGTGTCCCAGGAGGTGCCAGCTGGGTGGGGGCCTGCGGAGCTACAGGAGGAGAGGTGGCCAGCTGACACAGAGACAAAGCCAAACCAGACATCAGGCTGATCTCCTGTGTGCTGGTGTGTATTTGAAGGGACACTTCTCATGTATCAGTGGAGACCCAAGGGGCAAGTATTGCTCAGGATCTGATTGGATGGCCCAGTGAAGGATTCCTCTATGTTTCCTGTCTGTAACTAACTCACAGGGCCCCATGTCTAAACGCAGCTGGGAATCACATTTGGTTTTAGCCCCACAGTAACATCCCTAACCCAGGCGACCCAGCGACAACACAGACACAGGTTGTAGTGAAGATGGAACCTAATCCAATCTTCCCTAAATGGGTTAAAAGCTCAAGCTTCAGGCTGTGAACAAGGACATAACTAGACACCTTATGACCATGTTAAAGTCAGGTGAGGGGAATCTGTGCTGTAACTGGGACCTGAGTGATAAATGTTGCACAGATGTCTGGTGTCTATAGCACAGTTTTTCCTTACAGGTGGGAGGCATCAAAACTGAAGTTCTAACCCTGTTAACGAGCCCAGCTTGAAGCCTGGAACATGCCTAGGCTAGAGTATGGGCCTCTAACATGTTTATTTGCTTGTCCACATAGGCAAGAAGAAACACTGTAATTACACAATCTGGCCACAAACTTATTCAAACATGCTGGGCCAGAACCTCAGCTGGTGTAAATCAGTGTAGCTTTGACACCAATGGAGCATTGTCGATTTACACTAGCTGAGGATGTGGCCAGGTGATTTCTGTAGGAGCTCTGTATCGGGGCTGTCTGCACTCTTTCCATTTTCTGCCTGCCCTAGTAAAGAAGCTTTGGTTACTGTACGTGTGTGTGTCTGTGTGTTTATTGGAAACCCAGAGGAACTGCAGCCAGGTGACTGAGGAGCCTGCAGCATTGGCCTCTGGGTGCATGTTGCGCATGGCGCATTGCTCAATGTTTGAGGTCTGGACACTGTGCAGCTCACAGTTTCCATTTATCTCGGAGTCATCCCTCAAGTCTCTCATTAAAACACTTTTCCCAAGGGGCCCATCAACTCCAGAGCACACGACTGGAGCAGGTTTTCCCCTGGTTTGGGGAAAATTGGTGCCAACTCTGCCAGCACAAAGATGCCCTAAAGCCAGTCTAACACAGCATTGGCTGGTGCAGAGGCAGAGTAGCAGCTCCTATACCACCTACCCTCTCTGGGGGTGGTGCAGAGACATGACTACACTATACCCTGCCAGACTCTGGCTGCTGTACTGACCCTTTGAGGGCATTGGCAACCCATACAAGTCAGGCTGGTCTAACCTGCGTCTGGGGTCAAGTGCTCCTAGGATGGGGGAAATATAAAAGATTGCTTAAATCCACCTTTTCACCTCCCTCCTGAGTTGCACTGAACATGGGAGCCAAGCAATCTTCTCTCTAATTTTTGACAGGCCGTGCGCGCAAAAAATTTCTTCTGTGCAAATTTTTGTGTGCGCAATGTTTCGCCGTGTGTGCAGTGTTTAGCATCTGTGTGTGCACGCACACAGCTTAGAGGGAACAGTGGAGCCAAGGGTCAGGGCTAATAAGATGTTTTAAAAAGTGGGACTCATACAACAGGTGCTAAATGCCATTGGTAGATCACACTAGCTTTTCAGCAGATCTCAAGCTTCATCCTGTCTCTGTCCATCATCTGTTCAGCTCATTAGCTTTTTTAGGGCATGTTTCTTGCCTTCTGTAGAGCGTTTCAAAATGTTCTTTGTTATTATTTATTTAATTTCCTGAATTTTGTTAAAGTCGGTGGTTCTCTGTTAAACGGGCTCTTGCTTTCATGCTGGGGAAGACTAAAATCAACCAAAAAGTGACTGTGCTGGATGCAAGAATCACTGGGTGAGGTTCTATGGCTTGTGTTATGCAGGAGTACAGATTAGATGGTCACTAGGGTCCTTCTGGCTTTAACAGCTGTAAAAACCTTTATAATAATAATAATAATAATGATGAAGTCTCTGCCCTGCAGTTATGTAATTTGTCGGAGATGGAGAGCAAAGCATGCCCAAGGACTTTACAGTAGTTGTGAAGTCCCTGAATGAAGTGTCAAAAGCTTTGAGTACAAGGCCTGCCTTGGTACTGACTGACTTGCTTATGAGTCCTGGGCTTCATTTTCCCCATCTGTGACCCCCTAGCCACCTGTGTAAAGAGCTGTTAGAGCAGTGGATGGAAAGTGTTTATATAGCCTCTCAATGGGATTATTATTACTCAGCTGCTGTATACAAGCAATGCTAGTTGACTGCTATCTTCTCAGAACAATGGGGCCTATTGTGTAACATGCTGGACTAGGATTCAGGAAGCAAGGGTTCTAGTCTTGGCTCTGCTGTAGGGCTGCTGGGTGACTTATGGCAAGTTATGTCCCCATCTATAAAGTGGAGTTGACTCTCACCTCCTTTCTAAAGCATGTTGAGAAATGTATTTAAGAGCTGGGTATTGGCATTATTCAGAAGAGACTGAAGTTTATGCTTCCCTATTGAGACTGCATGTCCCAGGCTTGCTGCTTTCTCTTTGCTCTCTGCCTTGGGCACTAAGTGGGTTGTTGAAATCCCCAGACATGGGCACCATACAGCTCATATCCTACAAGTACCCCAGCTCTAAACTGCAGCTGGATTTGCCTGGGACACTGCAATTGGAGGCTGGGAGGCAGCACTCAGAGAATCACCTAGGTGTAGGGATGGCCTGTGTGCAGCTGTTGGGCACGAAGAGACACTCCACAAGGCATTCACTTCAGTCTCCAAGACATACTGAGCAGCCACATGCACCCCAGCTTCATCCAACTTGTGATCTCATGTGAAACCTTAATGGTAGCCTCTGAGATGTTAAAATAGAATAATGTTACGTGTGTAGGCTACGTGCCAGTCACATGTGCCTACAGTGCTTAAAATGGAGGAGTTGCAAGGAGTCAGTCCTGGCCGAAAAACACAACGAAAGTTAAACCAAGACGAATTGCTGAGGGGTGCACTTTCAGCACTGTCTTACCAAAGCTGCTGCTCCCACCACCACACACTTTTTTTAGTCCAGTCCAAGACTGTGTGCCAATCTGCTGACATGAGACTGCCATTATAGTTTTGCACAGGGGTGTGCAAGTTATTGACAGTCCTGTAGGGGATGGGGAAGTGGCGGAATGCAGGAGACTTTCCTTCTCATTCCCATGCGGTTACATTTTTGGGTGGTGGGATGTGTCCTTAGCTGTCATTAAATTAAGGTTTGGTTTGTGTTCATAAATGTTTGAGGACTCTCAGATGGTGATGTTCGGGTGAGGTTCCCTGTGTTCTCTGTTCCTAGCCTGCAGCTTGCAGAGGTGGTGGGGAGTCTCTCTCCATTTACAGGTGAGTCCTTAGCGCAGATTTATTTGACTTGAATGTGGTATCCATATCACCAGGGTGATCTCCAGACTCTCACATGGGGAAGTCATTGGGGGCAGCGGCAGCAACTCACCCAAGACACTTCACCCTGGATGAAGTAACATTGTCCTGAGTGTGACAACCTCCCTTAGGCCTAATTATTAGGGAACTGCACTGGTGCTGGACAAATGATGACAGAGTCCCTAAAGCTCTCTGCACATCTCTAAATAGGAGCTGCTAAGGTACGGAGCTCTTCCCCAACCCAAAACCAACCCCTCTGTGCCTCGGTTTCCCCAAATGGGGAAAATAAGCCTGGCTGGGGGTTGTGTGCATAAATCCATTAATTTTGTGAGGTGCTTAGATATTACAGCGATAGGAGTCATAAAAGCAGGTGGAGACCCTAGAGTGGCACAGCAAGGTTACCTGACCTCTGCAGATGTTACTGGTCAGGTATCCTGCCTAGGGGAGGCTCTTTAAGGAGGTGTCTGCATAGCATGGCTGCCCCTCCCCACTCCTTGAAGATAGCAGATGAGGATGGAAATGAGATTCCATGAGTCCTAGGGAGGGGAGATTCTGTGGGAATCTGAGATTGTCCCGGGGGTTCCCCTAATAAAAGAGCCCCAGAGATGAGGGGCACCTCGCCCCAAGGGCTGCCCGGAGTCCTGCAAGGTCTCTGGTTCATTCCTACTTTTCAGGAAAGAGAAAAGGATCCTCCTGTGGGGAGCTAGGGAGGGAGTTTCATTGGTTGTGTGAAGCCAGGTCCTATGTTCAATTGGATGGCATTTCTCTGTTTGGATGTAAGGTCCTAACTTCTCAGCACCACATCCAATCAGTTCTACATTTCAGAGTGTGTTCTAGGCAGCAGTGGGTAGAACCCTGTTCATTTTGGTGACAATCAACAAAACTGAAAGTGAGGAATGGGAAGCACATGGAGCCCCGGCATCCAGTGAGCAGAGCCAGCAGCTACAATCATCCCTGTAATAATCTATAGTTATTTATTATTTGTATTGCCATAACAAGTAGGAGCCGTACACACACAGAACAAAAAGACAGTCCTTGCCAAGAGACAACAGAGGGGAACAGATAGGCAGATGAGGGAGCAGAAGAAAACAATAACAAGAAAACAATTGTCACGCTGTCTGGAGTGGCTCACAATTGTCATGCTGTCTGGAGTGCTAATCTCAGGGCAGACTGTCAGAAAACCGGGCAGGCACCCCAAACTGGAGCTGTGTTCTAGAATTAGATTTCACCAAACCAGTAACAAATGTGAACTCCTGGATCATTGTACCAGTCTTACCATGGAGTCACAGACAATCCCCTTAGACTCTCCAGCCTATCTTGCCACCTAGACAGACTGGACTTAGTGATAATAGTCACATAAACCAAAAATCACACCACACCAGATTGCTTCCAGTCCCAAGGGACTAGCCACTTACCCCAGATCAATGGGTCCTCCAGATCTCACCACAAAGACAACACTGGCACCCAATTCTATAGACACCTTATTTTATTAGCTAAGAAAAGGAAATGAGAATTATTGAGAGGTTAAAGCAGGTAAAATATATGTACAGGAAAGTCACAGTTTGTAAGTCTAAATGGTAGCAGTAAT